GGGCACCTACCAAATGTTCCCCTCCTACTCATTGGATACCTCCATATTCTATCCCTAGACTTATCCAGTCCACTCAGGCTTAATTCCTACTGACTGGGTTAATGTGGAGCCAAATTGAAATTATTTTTTATTCTTACACTCACTACAGATATTATAAAAGTATCATGAAAAAGGCAAATATGTATTCAGTCTAAATGTATCTCTTTTTGAAAAGGAAATTTCTTGGCTACTTGGAAACAAATTTTCATCTGAACCCTCTACCTCAGGGGTAGGCAACCTAAGGCCCAGGGGCTGGATGTGGCCCCTGAGGCCTTTGGACCGGCCCCAGGCCAGTCCTGCCACTGCCGCCGCCACCACCACCACCACCACCCCCGCTGCCACCGCTGCCTGCCATAATAATATTGATTATTGTTGTTATTCCTTGTTCTTGGGGTTTTCTTGGCAAAATCTCCACGGGGGTTTTGCCATGGCTTTTCTGGAGCTGAGAGAGTGTGCATGTATATTTTTTTAATTTTTTAATTTTTTAAAAAATATATATTTTATTTATTTATTTATTTATTTATGGTGCTTCAGCCCACCAATTGTCTGAGGGACAGCAACCCGGCCCCCGGCTCAAAAAGGTTGCCTATCCCTGCTCTACCCCATGGCAAACTATCAGTAAATTCTTGGTCTTTCCTCCCCATACATCAGAGATACAACATCGGCAGTATCAAATATGGCTCAGCAGGATGTGCTCCTAGTTACACAAATCCGATTGTATTGATCTAACACATTTGGCCTTCCAGCGGACCTGTAAGCCCATCTATATATGCTGGAGAACTACTGTTATCGAGATCATTTGGGAGGAAGTTGAAATCAAACAAGCACTTCCTACAACTCTGTAACCAGTCTGTTAACCACTTCCTCACTCCACTCCTGGGTTTATGCTAGCAGCTGCACACTTTGTTCAGGTATGTTATACGTACAGGAATTTTTGAGGTGCAGGAAAATGATGGCAGCCTAATTTAAAAAAAAATCAAACAACGGATCTCCAGCTGCTATACACTGTCTAAAAAGTGGATGAATAGGTGGCTCCAAGGACACTCATCTCACACAATAATTTTTCTGACTCAGAAATGTAATTTGTGTGCAAGTGCAGGGGGAAAAATCAAGTTGCCTAGACCTAGACAGTATTATCAACAGTTGCTTCTTGATCTCTGTATCTATTTTTGTTGTAAGCCTTCAAATTGTTTCCAACTTGAAATCCTAGTTTGCACCCCTAAGGCAAACCTATCACAGGGGTTTCTAGGCAAGATTTGTTCATAGGGGTTTGCCTTTGCTTTTCTCTGAGGCTGAGTGCATGTGACTTGTCCAAGGTCACCCAGTGGTTCCCATGGCCAAGTGGGGATTTGAAACCTGGTCTAAAGATATATAGGAGAGCCAGTGTGTTATAAACACCCCCTAAAAACACACCAATCAATTCCCTCCCTCCTCAAAACTGAGATTAATAGTTAGGTTAGAATATATATATTCTGCATAATGGTAGGGACAGTTCTGGCAATTTAAATCTCATGGACCTCAGAGGGAGTTCAGCATCCTAGATCTGTGTAGGCTTGCAGCCAAATTCACCATACTGGCAATTATGGAGAGCTCAGTGAATCTTACCCCATGGTGTTATGTACATGATATACCACAGTCTTCTCCACTCAGCCAAACACTTAAACCAGAAATTGGAAATGTGTAACTATTCAGATGTTGTGGTAACTGCAACTCCTATAATCTCAAACCATTGGTCACATTGGCTATGGTTTATGGAAATTCCATTCCAACATTTGGAGAACACAAGTTTCCTATTCATGTATTAAGTAATACACACAATTATAGTATAATCACAATTCACGTTGTCATGATGACCCTAAATCCATCCGAGATAGGGGAGTTTTGATATGCTTTGCTCCTACACATTTAAGCCTTATACTTCCTTTTCCCAAATAACTTTAGCACACTGTGATTACTGAGCAATGATTTGGTAAAGTCAAATGCTGATCACAGCAGGTGGATTTACTGAGGAGTGTTCCATTAAAATCACATTCTCCTTTGGGTCTAAAGCACAGTAACAGTTCTTTGTTTGGCACAGCAAGCAGAAAAGATTTTGAAATGAAAATTGCTATGTTTTGATGTTAAAAATATATCAGTTTTGTGTCTTGCTGTTTGTCTTGTTACTTGGCTATATCTGCTTAACATTTTCTTAGATCTCTTCTCAGAGGAACCTTTGCCAGCAAGGTAGTTTGTTTTTTTTTAATCACAATTAAGGCAAAAATGCTGATTCAGCCCTCTCCTATTGGCATTCCATTGTCAAAAGTATTGATGCCAAATGTTCAGTGAGTACATCTTCTTAGGTAGCACTGGGAGGGGGGGGCATTCATTTATTTCTAGTTAGTTTTTTTTTTAAAAAAAAAATGAAACATTCTCATAAATGTGCTGAGCAGTTCCAGTTTTTTTCTGGCTCACTCCAATTAATGGAGGGATACTAATCAATTATCTCCCAGATGGTCAGACCACACTAGTCAGCAAAGCAATAATTACTAATGGGCTGCAAATAATTAAATGTAATAATGAAAGGTAGCTGTAATTTCAGATTGTGACTCCCATCCTATATACTGCCTTAGAACACTGTCTGTTCTCTTCCTCCTTACAACTGCCTCCTCCCCCACTTTCTCCCCCTTTTCTTCTCTCAGATCCTATGTCACTTCAGCATCACATAAATATTTGCTTCTGAAGTTGTGCTATGCAATCCCTTTACTATTGAATTCAAAGACCTGCCATGTTAGTCTGAAAAATCAGTATTCAAAGAGATCTTGCAGCATCTTTGAGACTAATTGAAAGATAGAAGTTGGTATCATGAGTTTTCATAGACTTAAGCCTATTTCCAAAAGTATCTAAGGTTTCCTGCTTCACTGTGTTTTTGTGTCATGTATCTGAGATTGGATTATTTAGTCACTCCTGATAATCAAGATGAATCAAACTGACCTGCTCACATAAGAATCTTCATGTCTGGTCTCTGAATGAATAGCTAAGTGGAAACACTACATATTTTAGGCTATTTTTCCTTAACCATAAAATAGCCAAACAACTCTTCCCCAAATAGAGAAATAATTCTACAGAGAAATGCCTGTGGAATTTATTCTCTCTGTATGTGTCTGTGTCTTCAAGTCACTTGTTGACCTATGGCAACCCCATGGATTTAATAGGATTTTCCTAAGCAAGGAATATTCAGAGATGGTCTTGCCAGTCCCTTCCTCTGAAATATAGCCTACAGCAGCTACAGGAAATTTTATTTATGTACACTCCTTTTTTTTTTCTTGATAAGCGGTATAGAAATGTACTTGCTACATGCTATTCTATTGAGAAAATTGGTTTCCTACACTGAAGAGGTTTCCTGCATAAAAATGTTTTGTCCTCAGAACTAGTTCTCTGTAACATTTCAGGATGTTTGCATGTGGGAATACTGGAGAGGAATTCTTTTTCTTTCATATCAAAGAGAAAACTACTGCAGTTATTTATCCTCTCATGTAAGGGTGAAACAATGGTGGATTTAAGTCTACAGCTTAAGTAGAGCTTTCAGCAATGTGGACATAATTTTTCCCATTGCAAGATGTAGTAGTGTGTCTATATCCACAGGATTGAAGGACAACAATTTACCCGTGTGGAGAAAGATAAAGAAATGCATTATCTGTAATTATCATTTGGATGGAGGGCAAAGCTGTGCCATGCCTACAGTGATTACACTCATGTGGATGCTCATCTTAGCCCCACTGAACTGGCCAGGTATATCATTTCATTGAGGTGAGGAGCAGAGAATGCATTATCTGCATCTAGGTCCACAAGCTCTATATATGGTTACTTACACATCATATTTTCAGCTTTATCACAATCATATTTTCTGTATCAGCAATGTGTAATAAGTCAGAATTTAACTTTTAAAGGCTCAATATTGAGTTATAAGCAAAAGTAATTATTAAATGACAGAAATATAGGGAGAAATGGGAGGGAACTTTGTTGAATATTTATTCCAAGGAAGAAGTACTAGCTTGTGCCTGCTGTCCTATCCTCTCCTATAGCCACTTCCAGTTTTTTCAAAGTTTAAATGTTGCGCTCTTTCCAAATGCTTTGCACATAAATGTGGCACTCTTTCCAAATGCTTTGCACATAAATTTTCATCTACTGTAACAGGTATGCCAAACGGAAAGAAGAATGCAACAATGTTTTTGTAACTTTTTTATTTGATTGAATGTCCTTAATGAAATATTTAGATCCACTCAGGGGATAGACATTTCACATTATTCTTATCAGTGGATTATATTAAAGATATGTATTTCAGATAGCTGCCTGTCATTGGGAGACCAGCTTTCAGCCATAACATTTTGATTAATCATTGGTAATATTTTATGATGCAATTCTCCCCCTTGAAAAATGCCCTTGATGTGTAATCTATTCCAGTGTCATCATGATGACTATACTGTGTATGCTGTACCTGCAAATAAATTTTTGTTCTCTTCACTAGTTTATTCTTTAAAACTAAAGACAATGGCTGGAATTCACAACTGCAGTAATGAATGTTACACCACCACCACCCCTATGCAATAGTGTAGGGAATGTGTAAGGATCATAAAAGTCCTCCCAATCCTGATTTACCAGGCAGCAGGCACGGCAAATGAAGGTGGGTTGTCTTCTTCCAACTGGGATACAGAATACTGATATTTTCATCCCCTGACCATAAGTGGTCTCCACTGCCAGGAGAAATTGTGACAGGGATTTTTCTTCTCACTGTTGTGGAAGAGAATTGCAAGCTTCCATTTCTCCTACAGCCTTTGCATGCTTCCCATTCTTCCCTCATCTTTGCAACTAGCATACAATCAAATGTTTGGGACCACAAAGACTAAATAAAATTAAAAGCACTGTCTAGCTTTCCTGGAAAGTGGGTGGTTATATATCTATGCATGTAAATCTTTCTAAAGAGAGTCAACATGGCATAGTGGTTTTAGTGTTGGACTATGACTCTGGGAATCAGGGTTCAATTCCCTGCTCATCCATGAAACCCACTGGTTGAGCTTGAGCAAGTCACATGTTTTCAGCCTTAAGAGAAGGCAATGGCAAACCTCCTCTAAACAAAATTTGTCAAGAAAACCCCATTATAGGTTTGCCTTAGGGTCACCATAAATTGGAA